GGGCACTCACGGCGGATCTATGCCAGTGTATTTGGACGAGTCGTGGCACCTGGTCGTGTTTCGTGCCCTGTGGCGTAGGGAAAATATGTGCTTGTTTTTTTTTCAGTGCGTGATTAGTGTGACATATTACAAAGGACGAGGATATTTTTTCTGTGTTCGAAGTCTTTCATTCATACTTACGAGGGAAATAGAGTGTTTATAATAACGGTGCAGTGAAATGTTGAAGAAGCTCCTCGGGTGAAGTGTAGTGCAGGTTGTAGTAAAAAAAACGGTTTTATTTCGGTTTGTAGTAAACAGACCCTATCTTTAACTTCAAAGTAAACAGGCTTAAATATCAAGTTGGCAATGTGCAGACTTTTCCCTGATACAGGACTTGCCACAATAACTTTATCCCATTCGTATACTGTACCGAGCAAATTATATTCTTATCAGCAAACAAAATTTTTATTCATGCGTATTCGCGTTCGTGGTCCAGGCTTGTCAACACGCTGAATGAACGAATGTCATGGACTGGAACTTTTTCTTTTCTTTCTCTCTCTCTCTCTCTCTCTCTCTCTCTCTCTCTCTCTCTCTCTCTCTCTCTCTCTCTCTCTCTCTCTCTCTCTCTCTCTCTCTCTCTTTAAAGAATAGTGTATTGTAAAGAATTCTTCTTTCCTGGGGCCGAATTCACTAACGCACTCACGAGGGTAAATTCACTGGTAACAATAGACAGCATGGCAACCCAACAGCGGTGGCATTCACTAACAACTTACCATCGGAGTTACCATGGGAAAATTTTACCAATAGTCGGAGCACTGGTAACTTCGGGAAAGCCAGTGTCATGTGTTATCTCGTCCAAAAATCAATATTTAAGCAACGTTTTTGGTTTGTTTTTATTCCTGATGTAATTAGTATGATGACGAAGAGATATCACAGTACAGTCATGGCGAAGATATGCAAATTTCACCTGAAATTAACAAGAATAAAATCCACACGAATTCTCGTATTACAAGTAGAGATAGGCCTACATTAGACTGTAGAGTGTATGGAATAGGTAGATAAATGAACTTCAATAATTCCTCTTCTCTGACATGATAATAGAAAAAAAAACTACCTTACTGATAAATAAACAGGCAAAACAAACGTTAAACGAATACAGAAACTTCTAGATCTGTCAACAAACTCCAAAGTGCATGGAGCAAGAATGAGCTTTAAATATTTCCTTTATTTGACGATAGATGGCGGTGAATGAAAATTGTGTTGGCCCGTTTCTGTTTTTAACAATGATGAGAACTAAATCAATAAATAAAACATGTTTAAATTGTCTCTTTGGTTTGCGGTAAACGATGAAATATTAATAAAACAGTGTATTAGTTCCTATTTACATGATAAGTAGCCAGGGAAGTCTATTAGCACCTCACATGATTGATATTATTAGATCAAATTATTATTTTTTTCTAGATATGCTTGATGGCGATTTAGCTGTGACAGTTATATTTAAAATCTCGTTCTTTTTTACGCGTTACGTGATTGGCGGAAGGAACCTAGAAGATTATGTATCGCGCTCGCTGATTGGCGGAATTGCTTTCCCAGAGCCCTCTGTCGGCTACCGTTAGAAAGAGACGATTCAAGATTGTAACTCAGGAAAGGCCAGATCAGTAGCAACCCAAGGAGGTGTCATGGCGTCTGTTTTGACGATTGTTCATTGAAAAAATAATCATTAAAATCATTATTTTCCCTCCTTTTGGAAAATTGAAGAGATCAAAATGATCGACCATTTTCACAAAGCATCCGTAACTTTTATGACGTCATGAAATAAACCTGTTTTTTTTTTTTTTTTTTTTTTTTTTTTTTTTTTTTTTTTTTTTTAAGAATCAGACGCCTTGACACCTCCTCCAGTTGCTACTGAACTAGCCTTCCCCATTGTTAACTCAGTCGATGCGAGTTCCCATCTGTTCTTGAATCTCACTTTACCATTGTAAATTACTCAAAAATAAATCATACATATATATCTACCTCATTAATACAATTTTGTTAATACACGTGTTTTTTTTTTTTTTGTTTTTGTTTTTTTAATATGATGAGCATTATAATATGTTAGCACTGGTAATGTGTTAGTATTAGATAGTACTCGAACTGCATGTACTAATTGCCCTTATAAGACAGTATAAGGGGAGTATTTGTAGTACTACAGCAGTGCAATTCAACGAAAGGAACTCATATCATTAATGTCTTTGTAACCTTGTAACTTAACAACATTTTTTTTTTTTTTTTTTTTTTTTTTTTTTTGCTACGAAATATTCTATAGCTGATCCCATCGTCATGTTTGATTTGATGTTTATTTGATATTTATCTAATGCATGTCTAACAGTCTTGTGTAAGGGAAACACAGTGTTCCCCTTACAGTTGTATTAAAAATCCTGTTGACGGGGGCATTGTATCAAAATCAGGCAATCTTAAGTCCGTGTCACACTAGCACTTTTTCTGTCATTTTTTTGACAATTTTATTTAACATAAATAC